GGGTTGTTAATATGGTGGTGAACTAAACTCATGTGTTTCAAATAGCCTAACGTGGTATTTCGAATGTATGTTCGACAATTTTCTAGAACTGCAAAAATTATTATTTTTTTTTAGTTGGGAAATTGATGGGAACAAAGGGATAAAAAAAATACATGGACGACCTGCGATACTTTTCGTTTTTTTTTTAGTTGTTAAGTTTTTTTCATGTTGTTTGATTATTATAGTGTTGTTTCTTTGTTGTTGTTTCATTGACTATCCCATATAATCATTGTAAAACTTAATTTTGAAATATTTTATTATAAGTGAAAGTTGTTTTCAGACTGGTTGAGAAATGTTACACTGTTGTTTTATAGTTACTTTATTAATCCAATGCTCATTGTAATGATGAAGAAGAAGGAGGGATATATTGTTCTTGGTTGCTGCAAAGTAAAAAAAAATAATAGTAATAATCTCTGTTTGTTTAATAATGAACAAAACAAAACATAATTATCTTTCCGGTATGAACACCCAAAAACACACAAATAATTACACATAAATATAATTATTTGTTGTGTTATTTTGAGTTTTTCTATGAAGTTATCATTGTTCACTTCTTTGTTGGTTTTTATATAGTTAAACCAGAAATTCTATGATGCCACAATATGATGTGGCCCATTATGATTGGTGCCACAACTATCACACATCATGTTGTGGCGCCAATCATAATGTGCCACTTCATGTTGTGGCACCATAACACGTGCCACATGTGGCACCATAGAATTTCTGTAGTTAAACAATCAAAGTAATAGTGCTTTTCACGAACGTCTAAAACATCTCCATGCACAAATTTTTACAGCAATCGATCAAATAATGGTCTTCTTTCAATAAAAAATGCAAAAGATAAGAAATTTGTTGATTACTAATATTTAAAAAAAATGCATAGCAACAATAAATAGCTTGTCTGTAGACAACCACAAAAAATAATAAATTACTTTAAAAACAACAATAAAATTTGAACTGGTTTAGAAGAAAACTAAAAAACCGGACTATGTAACATCATGAACATAAAAAGACAAAAAACGATACACTCAAAAATCACATATCGAACCAAAATAAAATTCATTCAACAATCAACCCGGAAACAGCCAATCTATCACTATCGAGAAACCAAATTTAACCCAGAGCCAGTTTCAAAATCACCGCTTTGACAAATTGACGAGTTTCGATGATATTAAACAAAGGACAATTGACTTTATGCAACTGCTTTGTCCTCTCGAATGGCCACACCATCTACTTTGTCCAACACACATACACATAGACAGACACACCGGGGGTGGGAGCGGAAGTGCCGGTGCCGGTGCCGGTGCCGGTGCCGGTGCCGGTGCCGGTGAAGGTGGTGGTCTTCTTGGTCACGCGAACACAAATTTCGATCCATACATGGTGATGGTCCCGATCAACTCATGCACAAAGCTCTGCAAATTTTGACTTTGCTTCCAAACTTGAGAAATTTCCGAACACAAATCATGATTTTACTTGCAATTGTATGTGCACGAAAAAAAAAGACTCTATTAAAAAAATCAAATAAACTACAGAAAAAAGCGATAAAAAAAGTTTCTGAAAAAAAGTTTCTGAAAAAAAAGTTTCTGAAAAAAAAAACATTGAAAGTGAAGAACAAAACAAAACAAGAAAAAAAAAAGGAAAGAATAATGAAAACTAACAAGGAAGAAAGAAGAAAGAAAAGAAGAAAGAAAAAAAGACAAAGAAGAAAGAAGGAAGAATACGAAAGGTACATTTTCTTTGTAAATAAAACTGTCAAATAATATCAAAGACGTGTGGGTTACAAAAATTATGATTTAAATTAAAAATAAAAATTGAAAACCTAAAAATTTCCAAAAAAAGAGTACAATTGAAAATAGAAAGAATAATGGTGTCTAAAATATTTGTAAAAGTATTAATACAAACTGTTTAAAAGAAGGGATAAAGGGTGTTATTATTTCTTGAGTCTCACGTACTCATTCTAAGAGGACACTCTAGGAAAGCCCAATGATAGAGATGAACTAAGACAAATATTGGGCTCAAGCCCACACAGTTTCCCCACAACCACAAGTTACAGGCCCAACTATACGTGTGACTATAAATAAAACTTCCACTCGAAGACAAAAGAAACCTATTTCAATTCGGGCGTTCCAATTACCTTGAAGCGATCAACCCCAAAACACCATGAAGGCTCTCGATCAGGTGCTTCCTTGGTTAATTTCATAATTTAATTGCTCAAATTTTGACTCCAATCAATTTTATTGTTTCGTTAACAACAAATTGGATTTTTCTTTTAATTTTTCCGAATTTTATCTCCATCAGGAAGTGAAATCTGGTTCGAGCTTTGATTGTGGATCAGTGAATAGAAAACTTGGGCCCGATGATGACGCATTATCTGCTTCTTCTAAGAATATGTTCGAGGAGGTACGTAGAGTTCTTCTCTTCTGACTGCCGCGCTTTAGATGTTTTCTTTTTTTTTTTTTTTTTTTATGATGTCGAGGATTCTCCTTTCTAAGGATGAGTTGCTTAATTATGAATGTGTGTTGATTTTTATCATTTGATTTGGGGAAGCATGGCTCGAATTTGAGTTGGACAACATGTTAGTTAGTAATATATCTGTTGTTGGTTTGGATTTAATTGGGTCACGAAAAGGATTCTGAGGATCAATCTCGATTATATGAACTCGACAACATGTGGCGTAACTATTTGTTAGTAATGTGTTTGTTGTTGGTTTGCTTTTAATTGGGTCACGAGAAGGATACTCGGGTCAATTTGATGAATTCAATGGAAAATATTTGTGTGGAATGAATGAATGTTGTTCTGTAATGGAAATATTTGAGTGTTTAATGAATGAATGATCTTTCCATTAGGAAGTCAAATCTGGTTCAGCTGCTAAGAGAAAGGTAGAGCCTGATGACACATCTTTAGTTACTTCCGTTGCTAAGAAACCAGCAACCTCTTATGCCGACATAGAAACCCCCGATGCTGACGCTACCATTGGACATAATGTTGAGGTATCTCCTTGACTGTTGGGCCGTAGCTGTTTTTATGATATAGACTATGGTTTATTTACTATTGTATGTTGATTTTTGTTCGATTTGGGAAACCATGGCTCACGTGGATTGGTTGGATTTCTTTTGATTGGTCCCCCCCAGGATAAGGAGGAGGTTGATATGGATGTCATTGACAACAAAAAACCCTTTATTCAGTTTCGGTATATTTGTACTCTTGGTAGGACGGTAATGTCTATTTTACTTTAATCCACAAAAACATATGTTCGATGAATTCTATTTTTTTTTTCCAGTTTTCCTCCTTTTTGTGCGTGTGTGTGCTTGGGGAAATTTGTTCTTCAAATTAAAAGTGTTTGAAAGCAGTTAGTTATGCATGATATAGGAGGAGATTATGGAAGCTGAGCTTGCTAAACGTTTCGTTCCTGGATCAAACGAATTGAAGACAGCGCTTGAAATGGTAAGTGATAGTGTTAAGTTACGA